ACAAATATCTAATACGGGTTCGGTCAACACAGACCGATATAGGTGGAGTGACAATGATATTGCACCTTTCCACCTGTGCGGCTGTGYCATGTGGCAATATATCATATAGTTAAAAAGAGATGGTATCAGCCCATACATTCCGTCGATGCCTTCTCTTGATCAATCAGAAAAGGTAAAAAAATGATATAATACATCTTATATCAAATTTATCCTAGGGTAAAATAGTTAAACCTCCCATGACATTTYTGAAATGTACTTAAACCTCCCTTAACGTTTAAAAGTTGAAAAGACCTCCCCCTCACTTTTGGTGTAAAAGTTGCTTACTGACCCCTTCTGTTAGTTGTACGTTAAAAAACTCAAAATTTTTTAAAATACCCATGATAAAATACTTAAACCTTCCTTAATGTTTCTGATAAATACTTGAACCACCCCTCACCTTTAAACATTACAAAGACCTCCCTTAACGAGTAGACCCAGGTATTAAACAAACAAAGACCTCCCTTGACGAGTAGACCCAGGTATTAAACAAACAGTGAAGTTGCCTATATAAACAATTAATAACAATAATAGATTAAACACAGGTACTTAAACCACCCCTCTTTGCTATATAACCAATAATAGATCAATAAAAATCAAGAATAGAAAAACACAAAAAGCTTAGATTAATAATGGATTCAACGCATGAAAAAAAAAACTACCTCTAAAAACTTAAAAAAATCAAAGTAAAYTCAAAAAATTGTGTGAAATCACCTTCAACAAGTATTTGCACACAGGGTTTTTTTTGTAGAATCCTTGAGAATATTGAGTTGTGCGGCAGAACCAGAAAAGAGGAACTAAGCAGGAATTATTTCAAGTGATGGCATAATAATCCTAGAAGGGTAATTTTGGTAATATAAAACTTTAACTTTTCCGGTAAATACACACACTAGTTTGGGAATTTTTCACTCTCCATCTAGAATTATCGGAAGGGGCCAATAAGAAACTTTTACACCAAAAGTGAGGGGAGGTCTTTACAACTTTTAAAGGTGACGGGAGGTTTAAGTACATTTCAAAAACGTCAAGGGAGGTATAAGTATTTTACCCTTTATCCTATTGATATTTAAATCAAATAACCCTGACGACCCAAACAGAACAAATTAAATAGTATTTATCTGGTTTGCATCTTCTGACAATGAATTGAAACCTATCTAATTTCCAGGTCAGTAGATCACCAGTCTTAACCAGTTGCACTCGGGCTTAAACCCCAAAAGCACAAAGTCCCAATTTAAGCTTTGTGCTTTGATTCTTAAAAGTGTTTTGACTTTAAATTATTGGTTTTTAAAAGATGATTCATTTTTGTTTTCCACGGCCAAAAGCTCAAAAACAAGAGCAGATTTTTCTTTTACTTAACGAATTATCATCTGAGAGTGAAAGATTATTGGAACCAAATTGACTAAGAAAAGGCTCAACCCCCCAAAGCAAATTCATTTAGTCCTAATTAAAATGTCAACAACAGTGGATGGAAGATTGTTCGAGGCTTCTCGGACAGGGAACGTCGACCACCTGCTCCAGTTGATCAGAGACGACCCCCTTGCGCTCGAAGCTCTTGCACTGTCATCTGGAGAGACTCCTCTGCACATAGCTGCAATGGCCGGCCACCTTGACTTTGTTAAGATGATGATTGGTTTGAAGCCAGAGTTTGCCAAAGAAGTTAACCAAGATGGGCTCAGCCCTCTGCACATGGCTTCGGCAAACGGGAACTTAGAGATTGTGAGGGAGCTCTTGAAACTAGGCCCTGAGCTTTGCCGTATCAAGGGCAAAGATAGAAGAGTTTCTCTTCACCATGCAGCCATGAAAGGGAGAGTTGATGTCATAGCAGAATTGCTCTCGGCCTGCACTGAATCTCTGGGTGATGTGAGCGTTCTTGGGGAGACTGCTCTTCACCTGTCAGTGAAGAATCACCAGTTCGAAGCATTCAAAGTGCTGGTTGAAGGGATCAAACACCTCAACAAGGAATATCTCTTAAACAGGAAAGACAAGCATGGAAACACTGTATTGCACTTAGCAACATACAGTAAACAACTCGAGGCAAGTATATATGATATATCCTCTCAAACCCTTAATTTCCTTTACATGTATCCTGGTTTAGTTTTCATCCTAATTTAGGAAAATTAGTAATCCCTGGAGGCATCAGGGAGGAGATTCTATCAGTTGCACGCCTGAGATGGATTAGTTTAGGTCAGTAAGGGCATTTTGGTAAAATCATGTATCCCCTGCTTGTTTGTCACCCGTGTTGACCAAAAATAAATTCATTCTCGAACACCTGTGCTGATTTGGTTGATTGCACGGCTGAGAGGGATTTTTGGTCAATATGGGCATTTTGGTAAGAGTGTATACTTGTATATGCTGACCAAAATTCATTATCAAACTCCTGTGCTGATTGGTTAATTGCACGACTAAGAAGGATTTTTGGTCAATATGGGCATTTTGGTAAAATTGTATAGACCCTTGTTTGTCACCCATGTTGACCAAAATGCATTCTCCATGCTGATTGGATAGTTGCTACTGGTGGAGTTTCTCATGGGGGAGGTTTTATACAAATTGAGGTCCTTATGGGAGGGTTGATCAGCTGTGATTGAGGTGCAATGAGTAAAGCACTTTGAAGAAGCTAAATTAAATTAAATTGAGAGTCCTTATAGGAGGGTTGATCAGCTAGAGAGTCCATTTCTTGTAGTTGGGCTTTTTAGATTTTTCACCAAACATAGCTTATACTTATAGGCTTTCTGTGTGGAAATGCCTTTTAAAGCCAGAAGCCACTCATGAAAGTTCTCAATAACCATTTGATCATTGTCTATCAATAAATACTTGACATGGTCAAAATCAGTAATAAAGGCCGCATGATACCTGAAAAACTGATAACCAATAAAAAAAGCATGGTTTTCTAGTCATCATTGACTTCGATGGTTGAATCGTTTGGCCTGAAAATCATCTAATAAACCAGTTCTGTTTTATCCCAAAACTGGGATCTTGCCAAAAACTATTGTTAATTTGATTAGCGCCCTGCTGACTCAAACGATCAAACTGCTGATCCAGAAACCGATGGCCAAAATGGTTCTGATTTCAAATTGGTTTTTAAAACATTGCATGAAAGTGATAACCAATCAACTGGTATTCATCACAATTCATGAGATTGTGAKTAGTCAATGTTTTCTAATATCAATCTTTTTAAGCAGTAATAATAATACTGATATGATTTTTAACAAGATTATGCATATGGGATATTCTCTTTTTTATATGCTTTTTTCTTCTTGTGCATCATTATTGTGTGTGTGCTCTATTGGGAAGCAGGTGATAGAGCTGTTATTTAGCACCTTTGACAGTGGGACAGTAGAAGTAAATGCTACAAATGAGACTGGCCTTACAGCCCTAGATCTCTTGGTTAGTTTTCMAAGTGAAGCAGGTGATAGAGAAATTCTGGAGATCCTTCAATCTGCTGGAGCCAAGAGAGCTCGTGATGGCACCTCCCCTCATTCACCAATGAATAATATTGATGAACAGGTTATCATCGATCGTCCAACCACATCACAGACGACACAGAGGACTCAATGTCCAATGGACCGATTGGTAGAGTTCTTCAAGTTTCAGAGGGGCAGAGATCCGCCGAGCGACGCCCGTARTGCACTGTTGGTGATAGCAATACTCATAGCAACAACAACCTACCAAGCTGTGCTCAGCCCTCCCGGCGGTCTGTGGCAGGACAGCACTGCACCAGATGGTAATTACACCATGAAAGCACACACTGCAGGGAAATCCATCTTGGGTTCCGTTGATCTCATCTCCTTTGGTCTATTTGTGTTCTCCAACTCGGCGGGGTTCTTTCTATCTCTTTTCATGATCAATATTCTCACAAGTGGATTTCCTCTGCAGCTGGAGCTGCAAATCTCCTTGATAGCGATGATGCTYACGTATGATACCGCTATGGGTGCTATCATCCCGAATGGTAGAATGAAAACTCTCTTCATTATAATTTCCTCAGTTCTTCCTACGGCAATACCTTGTGTAGCCAAGTTGGTGAGAGTTTTGATACATCGTTCCAAGTGTAGAATGACACAATGGAGAATATTTCAACGTCATTAATTACAGCTTGACCGTTGATATGGAATTAAACACAGGAAATCTCTCTGTGTACGCTTGTTAGCTTTTTTTTTTT